AAAGCCTGGAAAAATCACTTTGGGGCCTGCAGCTATAGTAACAAAATTATTTTATTCTGATAAAATGACAGTTACCATAACAAACTTGTCTTTTAGAACTGATTGTTTCACCTACAGCAGTGCACTATTAAAGAAGTAATGGTCTAAAACTGGAGGACATATATGGCTTTATTAAGCAAGAAGCTGGCTAACATCTTTCTTTTCAACTGTTCCTTTTTAAATAGGAAATGTCTATTGTAGTAGTTATATTTCAGAGGAAACAAAAATTTTTGGTTATAGATTGCTTTGTGCTACAGTAGAACTGTCCTTTCTCTGATTGGTAGATTGTTTTGTATTTTATATACTTATGTTCAACTTTGTAAGCATCTCTGAACATTTTAGTTGTAAAATAACATATACATTCAGTAATCCTAAATAAACGAACAGATTGGACATTAGCTTTGTCCTGTTTGCTTGGAACCTGCTTGACTGTTCTTACAGTCTTACATTCCTGTCTGACAACCAAGGTTTATAGCATGACAATATCCATAGTTCCTATAGGTTGTTGCACATTTGTGTCTGCTTTGAGTAAAAACACAAAGTGATAGAAGACAGTACTGCATTAGGAACCTAGAAAAAGATAAGATCCTGAAGTATCTAATTGAAGAAATAGAACTGAGAGAGGAGGCAGTTTCAAACAAACTATATAACTTTTGCCAGCAATATTTTATTAACAATTTCTTTATTAACCGTGAACATACATTCTTCACAACCATGCAAATGGTGATCTCATAGCCTTGTTCTCATGCTATATATTTTTAGAATTTGTTTTCTCTCCCTTTTTGTTCTCTAATCTCCTTTTCTCCCCTGTGTCAAAGTATGTTAAAATTCATGTTTACTTTGAAGGAACTGCTGGATAGCTCAGATTGGGAGTTTGATTCTTTACTGTGCCTCCTTAACAGGGGCTGAATTCAGTGATCAACAGGATCCCTTCATCTCTTCAATGCTAAGATTCAGTTAGTTTTTCTGAATTTAATTGTATCACTGTGTGTGCTGGATTGAAACCATAATCTAATCTGAAAGGTTTTTTTAAAAAAATTAACTAGAGCAAATCCATTGACTTTACATAAGTGTTGACTTTAAGAGTGTCTCTCCCCCCTCCCAAAAATATCTGCTCTAGCTTGGACTAATTATTAGATTTAGTCCCATTTCTTTGTCTGTATGACAGAGAGTATGGAAATCCTATTCATTCCATGGCTTCAGTTTTGCTGGGATTAACCATTGGACTTTGGTATTATTTTTGTAGCCTGATTTAAGTCTTCCATCCACCTCTTTCTGGTCTTTCATAAAGCTTAATGACCATTTGTAGCACCATATATCCTATAAAGTAGATAATGAGTTTCTAGTTTTATTATGTGAACAGGATATAGCTCTGTTATTCATTAAAGGACATTGCCAGTGGTATCGAACACAGTTTAAATATTACAGCACACTTCTCTTTATACCATTTATTTTCTTTTATACTTTCATTTTTTAAATTCACTATACTTTTTGTCTACCCTTATTAATGCCTTCCCAAGAAATAAGTGCAAGAACAAGTGATACCTTTATTAGATCACAAAAAAAATAAAATAAAATCAAATCAAACAAGCAGCTAGTTTTTCATGTTAACCTGTGTTCATTAGGCTGTGCACCATGATTTTGTGGACAGTGCAGAAAATAATTACTGTAGTCCCAAGAATTCATGGCAGATGATTGTGTCAGATATGCTTTCTAAATGTGAGTTGAAGCACAAGCTGCTAATGCCAATGGAGGTGTAGTTTCAAACTCCAGCTAGCAGTTGGCTAGATTTCTCATTCCAGATCTTCAAAGAGCCACTAAATGATCTGCATTTACCCACCCAGCCGCCACACGTTGCCTTCTTTTGAAACTCAAGGTTCCCATTTGGCCACGGAAAAGGTTATAGAGAAAATTGGCAAGCCCCCATCACAGGGGGGCCACCCAGAGTGGTAGAATATACTAGATGGGAGGGATATAAATCAAATTTAAAAAAAAGAACTGGGATTAAAATTTAGTCTACCCACTGGGCAAAGCCAATTGAAGCCAAATTGAAGCCAAATGAATAGGGTTGCCTAGTGGATGTAAGCAGATGCCTTCTTCAATTTGCAGTCCTGATTGACTATTGTTAAGAGTTCATATTGCCTTCCAGGTAGTGCTCTGGGTAATCCTCCAGGGTACAGTATCTTCTGTATTTCAGGAAGATGCCATATGGTCCCTACATAAGACAGACTGTATTGTTTTAAAAGGGTCTTGTGGGGTTTTAATTTTTAATCTGTAAACTGCCTAGAGCAGTGGTCGGGGAACAGGGGTAAATTACCCCAAATGGGGTAAAAATGAAAATCCTGGGGTAATGAGCAGAGTGCTACCTCCCTCCCTCCTCCACCCCTGCAGCCAAACTTCAAATTGTAAGCCACCTCTCCCTGTTACTTCCTGGTTGCAGCAGGCACTTGTAAATCCTCCGTTCGTTCAGAGACTGGCGATAAGCCTGCTTAATTGGCTATAGCTGTGGAATACCCCCGAGCAATCAATCAATCCGGGGCTTTGGATGACTGCTTCCTCTGGAAATGAATGCAAGCAAGCAGGAGGCGGGAAAGGATCAAGTTAACGAGGGGAAGGAAGGTGCGAGAGACCGAAGGCTTCATCAAGCTTATTTAAATGAGTAGAGAAAATGGATAGATGGAGGGTGGGTGGGTGGACGTGTGTCTGTGTGTGTGTGTGTGTGTGTGTGTGTGAGAGAGAGATACTGACTCAAAACTATGAAAAAAGGAACAGGCAAGGCTTGAATTAAGGCAGGAAAAAGGGGGAGGGAGGGGGGATGTGTGTGTGTGTGAGAGAGAGAGACCGACTCAAAACTATGAAAAGAACAGGCATGGCTTGAATTAAGGTGGGAAAAAGGGTGGAGGGAGGGTGTATGTGTGTTTGTGTGTGTATGTGTGTGTGAGAGAGAGACTGACTGAAAACTATGAAAAGAACAGGCAAGGCTTGAATTAAGGTGGGGAAAAAGGGTGGCTTCATCAAATACTGTATCATTTCCTTCCATTCAAATCAAGGGGGTAATGTTGGCTTATATAAAATATTTTTGGGGGGGGTAAAAGGTAAAAAAGTTCCCTGACCCCTGGCCTAGAGTAGTGCTTGCTCTAAAGGGATGGTAAGTAAGTAAGTAAGTAAGTAAGTAAGTAAGTAAGTAAGGAAGGAAGGAAGGAAGGAAGGAAGGAAGGAAGGAAGGAAGGAAGGAAGGAAGGAAGGAAATGCAAGAGCAGGTGATACCTTTATTAGATTACTAAAATCAAACAGCTTTTGACATTAATGCATCTTCTTCAGACTGTGCACCAAGATTTTGTGGATAGTCCTACAAAATGTGCATAATGTGTTAATATCACACTAAGAAACATGAAATATTCAAAGCCAAATTTAATGTATCACTCAGCCACCTATAAGACATTTAAGAAAATTAAGCATATTCTTAGAATCCCACAGAAGCAAATTTCTTGCTTGAGAAGTCAATATGCTTTGTGCAGACAGGATACAAGGCAGTAGTTGTGATCTCTTGCAATATGCAAGCACACATTTAATGAGGGAGAAGGGGAGGAGTTGAAGAATGTCCTTTTTAAAGAAAGAATCAAAGCATCCAGACAAGGTTCAGTTTTCCAAAAAATTTTGTCAAATACTCTGTTGGGCAACATGATAGCCCTTCTTGAGACAGCCAGTAAGTGTGAAAAGTGTGGGCAGATGATATAAGCATATGGATGTAATGAAGAAGGGAAGGTCTTCTATTTATTTCTATTAATGTTCCACCTAAGGGTGACCTGCTGGTTAGTGGTGGGAGGAAGAGTGCTGATGATGTCATGACGCTCAGCAGCATCTGTACTGTAGATTCTTGAAAAGCAGAATATGGGACTTGATGGGAGTTCTCCCCCCCCCCCCCCAGTTTGTCTGCGTTGATGTTGGGCCACTTCTTTCTGTCCTGTCTGTGTGAGACAGAGAGCGAGGAGGAAGAGAAAGAAAGTATGCACCACCCCAGGCAACGTGGAGAAAACTTCAAATTGCAGGAATTTTGTAGGAGAAGCTGCGAGGAAGAGAGCTGAAAAGAAGCTCTTTCTGGAAAGCGAGAGGCTGCTAATGTACTTTGAAATCCTAACTACCTGAGACTGCAATTCTCTGAGCAGTGCGACAGCCATTCAGTTCTCAGGCATTAATTTATTATTTAATTATTTTTACCCCGCCTTTTTACCCCTCCTTGAAAAAGGGCCCAAGGCGGCTTACAAACCATGAAAGACCATATTGAAAGTAGAAAACAATGAGTATACAAAGGGTGGTTAACCTCATTAAAAGCCGATATTTAAAACGACGAGCACTTCCCGGGCTGAGGCATCCCCTCGGAGCATGAGGGAGCGAGGGGGGGGAGAAAGACCAGTCCTCTTACAGTCTGACCATATGGTGGTGCTTAGAAAGCACGGATGATATCCCGCCCTTTGCGCCCGGGGGGTGGGGGTGGGGAGAGATATGGAAAGAAAAGAAAGAAGGGGGAACATGATTAATTCTTGGCCAGCATGGCTGGCTTCATCTGTGTAGAAGAAAGGGGCGGGGGATGTCGTAGGGGTCGCGCGGCATGTTCAGCCCGCGGATTCTTCCTCGCGCCCTCTCCCCCCTCCCCTCCCGGCTCGCTCCCGGTAACGGTCTCTAACGGTTTCTGCCCCGCCGCATTCTGAGGCGGGCGTCAGGCGCGGGGGACTCGCGCGCCAGCCCCAAGCCAGCGGGGCGGCGGCGGCGGCGGCGTTTGGGGGTGGGGGAGGAGGTGGACACGCGGTGTCCGCTCCGCTTGCCCTCCTCCGCCAGCCAGCCAGGCGGCTCGTGTTCGTCTCGCCTCTCTTTCCCCTCCGCAGAGGGAGAGGGGGAGGCGGCGGCTTACTAGGCGGGGGAAAGGGAGGCTGTGCCGGGCCGGGGTGCCGTCGGCGTCCCTCATGAACTGCGGCGAGGGGAGCGGCGGCAACCTCGGCGGCGGGGAACCGCAGCAAAACCCCGCCCCGCCCTCAGAGGAGCCGCCGCCGCCGCCGCCTGGGAAAGCCGCAGGGGTCCCACCCGGACCGGCCCCCAGTGGTCGCTCCGCGAAGGGTGGGGTTGGACAGGGAGAGAAACCCGAGACCCGCTCGGTGTGTAGCAACAGCAGTGGGGAAGCCGGCGGGGGC